GCTTACATTTCAAAACCCTCAATTAATCCGTCCATCGACTCGTCACATAGTCAGTCATTATTACTTTTCCATTCTGCATTTAATTGTTACGAGGAAAATTGCATCCACACGAGACTTGATTGTCAGACTATCATAAAGTCATAGCAACTATCCAATTAGTGATAGGGGCTGTTCACTTATTACGTAACGCGAAAAAATGACTTCTTAGACCCCCCCTCGTAACAAAATTTGTATGAAAAAAAAATTTCCTTGTTTGAACCGTAACAAAATCTTAGACCCCCCCTCCCCCTAAAAGCGTTACGTAATAAGTGAATGGCCCCTTACTACTTATGTGTTTATTTTTCAGATGCAAAAACATTGGATACGAATGACATTCAATTTAACGGTGAAGAATCTATTCATTTGTGGCTGTAATTTTCATCCAGCTTATGCGATTTTGGCAGTAGGTATTTATGGATTTGAATACACATTCTAGATAAATAACGTTTGAAATGTCTGTCATTATAATTCAAAGCTGCAAATTCCCAAAATAGAACCACATATTGATTGAAAATAATTCTCAGAAATTTAAAATAAATTAAAATAGTAAAATAGGTTAATGAATAGATTTTTCAGTTTTTGTGTGTTATTGACAAGCAATATGATCATCCTTGACATTTTCATATCAATTACCACCCCAAAAAATTAATCCTGTCAAATGAAAATATTTTCGATTGAAATTCAATCTTGATTATTGATTATTATATTGAAATTTAAACTTTGAAAACCCTTAAAGCTCATTTTAAAGCGATAAACAATTTTGAAATCAAGACAACGTCCTCAGAGAAATATACAAAAATAGCTCAAATTTCTCAAAATAAAGTGTGGCTTCTAATTTCCCAAGAAATCTTCATTTTGAGAAAATTTAAATTTTTAAATTTTTATTTTGAAAAATCACAAAAGGGTTCATTCATAAATGACGTCTATCAATTTTACATACCATTTTCTTTCTTTAGTCACAAATTTGGTATTTTATATGGTAATGTCACACAGCAATGACATCCAAAATGTAGACATCATTTATGAAGCCCTTAAGTACATCCAAAAATCATATACATCACAAAAGACAACAACATTGAAGATAAATGAACGACGATTGTAGATTTTTTACGAGATATGAATATAAAAACAACAACAGTAGCAATGATAGCTACATATAATGAAAATAACAATGATGTAAAAGAAAACGAGAAGCACATGTTGGGGGTTGAATGGAAATTCCTGATATATTGCTAGAGACTTTAAAGAGGAAAAAGATGCGTAGGAGGTAGAAATATGAGAAAATGTTTTAGATTCTTTAATGTTTTGTAGGTTTTCGAGGAGTTCATCGACACAAAATTCTCACAAAATGTTTTTAAACTCATTCTGTTGGGAAAATATTAGAATGAAGTGTCATGATCATCCATTGGTACAGGAATGAGGTTTTGAATCTAAGTAATATCCTCACAGTGTTTCTGGGTTCAAAACCCATCAAAGAAATTCTATGACATATCACTAATCGATGTAAATACCATCAATGATGTGGTTCAAATCCTTCTGTATGCGGAACAGGTTAAAATAAAGCAGCTTAAGAATTCCTCTCTCGTCAAACCAGAGCTCGAAGTCGATGAAATTTTGTATCGAGTCAAGTCGACTCCGCCATACAAAATCTATGAAAATCTCGTGTCAACCTCGAGCTCTGTGTCAAACTACAAATAGCTACTTAGAAATAATGTTTCAAGCTTATCGATAAGATTAGCCAGAGGCACTAAGATTCTGATCCAAAAACCCCCTGACAAACAACACCCAGTAGCAGAACATCATCTTTTATCCTATAAACATTTCTAATTTCTCATTTTTTTCTCCAAAAATTGTCAACATCACTTGACAGTTGTTTAGAGATATCTTCCTTGTAAGACACATCCCCAGATGTATTTGAAATTTCGCATAAACTAGGCTTACGCAACATTAAACTGAAGAATCTTTTTTACAGTTACTACACGTGTTTCACCTCTTCCAATTCTTACACTTTTTTTTAGTGATACTACACACATGCATGAGGCAAACAGAGGAGCATAAAAAAGTTCTTTCTTCCCTCTACTCACTTTAATATTTGCTCATATGAGCAGAAAACCTCTTCATCACTTTTTATGATTATTATTTCAGTGATAAATATAAAGCAGCAGTAAAAAAGAAAAGAAACTTTTTTTGGCACCCAGCATAAGCAGTAAGCGTCTACAACAATGGCTTCATCAATCAGTTTAGCAACATCAGAGAAGCAGAGGCAAAAGGGAGTTCGAAATGCCATCAACGGATTTTTTTCTTCGATTTACCAGATTTTTATTAAAAAAAGGGAACCCCCTTAAAAAAATCTAACTACACCCCCGACGTCTAGAAATTAAAATTGAGGGGGAGCAAAAAATTATGAAAAAGGGCGTTTGTAAATTGTTTTAATTAATTTTCACTTAAGCACCTTCTATTATGTCTGCATTTAAAAGTTTTTTCTTTCTTCACCTCCATCTCGCCTCATTTAGTTCTCTTCTATTTTTCATTTTTCATTCTTTTTCTTCCTTTAAAGCAAACGATCATTGCTCAGGAAATTGTGCAATCAGTGTAAGAAAAGTGTTTTTTATTCGAAAATACCTTATAACCATGTTATATCAAAGCAGAAGGGTTTGAGAAACAGAAGGATGATGGCAAAGAGAGAATAATGGGTAAGATGTATGAGTTATAAAGGCATTTGGGGAATGAAGGAGCTTAAGCGCTTTTTATGTCCGAAAATCTTACTCCTGGAGTATTTTTTGATTAAACCTTAGGTTGGTTCTAGGTCAGTGCTACTCAAACTTTGCTCCACGATCCCAATAGCTCAAAACTTAAGGTTTATTGACAACAAACTGAATTTATACCAGATTAATAGCTTTGCTACGTCAGGTAAACAGTTTAAGTAATGCTACATTCGGTTATATCTAGAAACCAGCCTTTGGAATCGAACCTGCGACATTTTGTCGCAATACAACATCCATAGCTTAACTATATCATGTAACAAATTCAATTTAACGATTCAAACAAAGTTACAAAATCACAAAAGTAACGAAATAATTTTAATTGCCCATTAAAGCATCAAGTTCAACTTTTACGTAACCCAAGATTTACTAGTTTTAATAAAAATTGCAATTTCATTTAAATGTACACCCAAGCTATTATCTCAATCAAATTCCTTCCAAAATAAAAATTGTTTCCAACTAGAAACAGATCATAAAGTTCATTTAAAAGCCTTAAATTACTTCCAGGAAAGAATCAAAAATATTTTTCATTCAGCAACATATTTTTGTACATCTCATCAGATTTCTGACAATATTCATTGATAATTCTTCAGAAATCCATTAGGTACTTCAATGTTTATTTATATTCTTATTCAAGTGTTTACAAAACATTTTCAATTAAATTTATTTTAATGGTTGAACGCCTTCCATTGTGCCTTTAAAAAGGTCCCACACAGAAATTTGCGTGACTACAGACGAAATGTTAAAAATAGCGCAAATATTCCTTTCCAAAAAACATGCTCGAAAAAAGGTACCGACGAAAGGTAATTCAGTAACAAGGATCTTTTTTATAAGAGATGCAAGTACATAGCTAAAGCTCTGCAAAAAAGGAATCGAGACCTTTTTCATGTTTCAATCTATCCACTTTACGCGCGCTCTTTCCTTCTTATCCTTCATTCCAATGACTTCTTTTTCATTTCCTTACTCTTCACAACTTTAAATTTAAAAATGAGGGGATAAATGGATAGATGAAGTAAACCTGTAATTCTTTCCGGTTACCTTTTTAAAGGACATGCTCAACTTACATACGTTAAATGCTATTCACTGCCAGAGTAGTGGAAAATTGAAAGTAAATCTCTATCGATAAATTTGTAGAATCTAGTAATAAGATGCTATTTAAGTTGAGGATAAGAAGGCATGGAGGAGTAATAAGATGGTGACTTAATGGGAATCGGAAATGATTTCTTTGATGATTGAATTTATTGCTTTTATTGTCGTTTAAAATGTTTTTGATGATTTGTAAGCCTTTTGGGACCATAATGCAAGTTTTTGAGTTTTCTATGCTAATTTGCCTCACTAGGATACTAAGTTCATCATGAGATGTCGAATCCTAGAGGATATAGAATCGAGATACCTTAATTTACAAGCTAGACTCAATTTTAAACTATTAGATTGATTTATTCGTCTCAAAACCTATTCTGAAACCATATTCTTATTTAGAGGCTATCCTACATGAAGTCTGTAGGATAAACTACGAGATAGATATGAAAAGTAAGTGACCTAGTAGTGGAATTGTGACTCTAAGACTTGATAGTGAGTAGATATTATAAGTAAAGAGGTTTTATAGAGGAACTGAAGTATTCAGTGATAAAGTTGTGCTGATTCTTGTCTTTTTGACTCCACAAACTTACAAATTGAAATAATTCAAGTTAATAATGCACGGAAAGAAACTCCAAGTCAATCAAAACTTTCTACAACTCAAAACTAATCCAAAACCACTCCAGAATGACACAAATTGAGCATCTCAACTTACACTTCCTCTTTTTCTAATTTATTTTAATTCCAGCATCCTTTAAAAATCCCTCAATCATCATCCCACCTCCTCATTATAATAACCAATTGCAGATCCTCATAATTTTTAACGAGCTTCATCTCTTGTTCACAAGAAAAGTCCTCAATACGATGGGAAGTAGCGATAAAATCTAAGAATATCCTGAAGAAAATTTTCTCTAATTTCACAAGAACATAAACACCTGCTTCTGCTGTCCTTTTCAAACAAACAACAAAAAAAAGGAAAGACCTTGATATTATCACACAGAATCTATTCAAGGGTCTAGTTTTGTCTTTTTATTTTGTATCCTTTCCTTCGTTAAAGCGACACGAAGAAGGGATGAAAAATGTCAAAATCGCATTTAGATTAAAAAGAATAAAACAACTCACCGGAGGATGCTCATTGATGTCAATTAATGTAATTATCAGTAAACCTTTGCCTTGCTGTAAAACAGGTGCCGTGGTGTCTGTTACGAAAACAGTCAGTCGTATCACCTGTTAAAGATTTTTATTTTTTGGAGATTATTAGAATATTTTTTCCAGTTCTGTTGTTTCCATTCTGTCTGTTCTATTCTACAGCAAACACAAAATTTCATATCTTCATGAACACGGAAACAAGAATAACAGAATGGACAGCAGGAAGTAGGGGCAAAAAAAATAAGATAAATGAAGATTCAATATACTGACCGCAAATAAATCACGTCGAAGTTTTTTATTAACTGTCACGACACCGGTCTTATTGATGGCAAAATATTCACTAAACATGTGTGATGCTGGAACTTCTGTTCCGTCCTCACTTACAGCTGTTGTGGATGCCTCATCCCACGAATAATCTAACAAATCAATTGACTCGATATCTGGGTCATTAGCTGTCAATTTATGCACAAATGTATCAATTTCAGCATCTTCGCTTATCTCAGCACGTTGTGTTGTCGGCACAAAATATGGCGCTTTATCGTTACTATTAATAATATTTATTTCAACTGTCGCTGTTCCAGACAGACTCGGTATACCTTTATCATATGCCACAATCTCAAGTGTATACTTTTGTCGTACATCATAATCAAGCGGCTTTGCTATCGTTATGATACCCGTTCGATTGTCAATTGTGAAATCGTTGAAGCTTCCGTGCTGTATTTGATAAATTATTTCTGCATTCTCGCCTGTGTCGAGATCTGTTGCATTCATTTCCTCAACTTTTGTTCCTGTGGTGAAGGGAGAGAGAAAATAAAGTTTTATGAATTGCATTGTTGGGTTTGTATTGTACTTTGTTGATGATTTGTTTCTATAGTTTAGAATTTTAAAGGGCTATTGATACTGTGATTGCATTGATTGAATTAATTAATGACTTGTAGTTGTTGTTGAATTGGCTTTATATGTAAATTATTTAAGGATTCAAAATATTTTAAATTGTTTTGCATCAGTTGAGGCAGAATGATTTGCATCATCTGAAGAAAACACTTTGCATCATCTGAAGAAAACACTTTGCATCATCTGAAGCAAACACTTTGCATCATCTGAAGCAAACACTTTGCATCATCTCAAGCAAACACTTTGCATCATCTGGATCAAATATACTGAATTAATTGAAGCTTGTCAGATCTTTTGCATAAATCAAGCTGATTTTGAGTCATTGAAGCATATTTTGCATCAATGAAGCAGACTTTGCATCAATGAAGCAAAATTTGGATCAATGAAGCAGACTTTGCATCAATGAAGCAGACTTTGCATCAATGAAGCAGATTTTGCATCAGTGAAGCAGATTTTGCATCAGTGAAGCAGATTTTGCATCAGTGAAACAGATTTTGCATCAGTGAAGCTAATGTTTAGCATCATCTAAAGGAAACACTTTGCATCATCTCAAGCAAAAACTTTGCATCATCTCTAGCAAACACTTTGCATCATCTGGATCAAATATACTGAATTAATTGAAGCTTGTCAGATCTTTTGCATAAATCAAGCTGATTTTGAGTCATTGAAGCATATTTTGCATCAATGAAGCAGACTTTGCATCAATGAAGCAAAATTTGGATCAATGAAGCAGACTTTGCATAAATGAAGCAGACTTTGCATCAGTTAAGCAGATTTTGCATCAGTGAAGCAGATTTTGCATCAGTGAAGCAGATTTTGCATCAGTGAAGCAGATTTTGCATCAGTGAAGCTAATGTTTAGCATCATCTAAAGGAAACACTTTGCATCATCTCAAGCAAAAACTTTGCATCATCTCAAGCAAACACTTTGCATCATCTGGATCAAATATACTGAATTAATTGAAACTTGTCAGATCTTTTGCATAAATCAAGCTGATTTTGAGTCATTGAAGCATATTTTGCATCAATGAATCAGACTTTGCATCAATGAAGCAAAATTTGCATCAATGAAGCAGACTTTGCATAAATGAAGCAAAATTTGCATCAATGAAGCAGATTTTGCATCAATGAAGCAGATTTTACATCAGTGAAGCTAATGTTTAGCATCATTTGATGCAAAATTCAGGTATAAACTTGAAGTAAAGTGTTTAAATTTTATAATCATCTTCAAGAAATCCATTCATGTATACATACATATTAGAGCAATTTATACTTAAATGACTTTCAAAACTAATTTTTCCAATTTAATTACAACCATAAATCCTTTGAGACGATACAAAATTTAACAAAATATTCATCTTAATGCTCTCAATATCAATAAAGCTATAAACTAAAGCTCCTTCGTTCACATCAATTTCCAATAACATTTCCCTCATCATTCTTAAAGAAAAGCATCTCTAGTTACACCATAAAATGGAATTATTATTGCTGTTTTTCCATAATGTAAGCAAAAATCTCTCATTCCATGCCATAAAACAATAAAATGAAATATTATAGCTGTAATAATTAATAGCATTTAGATTGAAGATTATGTTGGTCGACTATATACATAAATAAATGAAATTTAATTGAACATTCATACATACCAATTGGTAAATTCTCTTCTATTGATGCCACAAAATGTTTACGACTAAATACTGGTGCATGATTATTAACATCACGCAATGTTATGTTCACATCACATAATGTTGAATATAATCCATCTGATGCCTTCATTTTTTTTGGGGGTTTGTTGTATGTAAGTTTCACATGATGAGGATGTGAATGAAGAAAGGAAATGAAAGTTATTAGATAAGATTGTCAGACATAATAATGGGAGTTGCTATTATCATCATCATTTTTTTGATTTATTGACTTTGAATAAGATCATTTTAACTTTATTTCTATTTCTGAGGAACTGCTGTTCATTTTGCAAAATTTAATTAATATTGTTTGAAATTTCATCCGTAATGGGATTGGATGTGGTTAGTAAGGCTTCAATTAAATGTTTAAATTATGCCTCGCTGGGGCTACTTTTGTAAAGTTCCTGATAATTTGCTCGAGAGATATTTTTAATAATTATCCTCGTACTTACCTCAACACTAAACACGATGCTCTCTCCATTCAAATGATTGACATCCAAGCTAGCTCCTTTTTTTATCGACAGCTGTCCTGTTCGCTTATCAATTTCAAAGCTTTTAAGTACAACGTCAGTTCCGATGATTCTGTTTAAAAAAAAAATCAAGAAAATGAAGGAATTGAGGATTAAATTTCATTAAGTATTAAGCTATAATTCCTTACTGATAAGTAATTTCCGAAAGAACGTCCTCATCTCTCGCTTTTACAGTTAATCCATTTCCATCGAAAGTCATTGCACCCTCGTCTAATGTCGCTCGATATATGCTACTCTCACATTTCGGTGGATTATCGTTAGCATCAATAACTGATATCCTTAAAGATGCAACAGACATTTGACCCTTTCCTTCATTATCAGTTGCCTGATAATTTAAATAATAGTCAGTTTGTGTTTCGTAATCAAGACATGGATATTTCCCTAAGCTATACACATCCTTATCTTTTTGTATTGTCTCATTATCTTCATATGACTCGACATGATATGTAACATAATCGCTTGACATTGTTGTGTGCTCGTAATTAAAATCATTTGCATCATCCTCTACACTGAGTATTCCGTACTCTCCAGGATGTGTTATGTTGACCTTTTTGATATGATGACTTTGATATTCCAACTGCCTCTTCTGTCTCATATTTCCGTCGTGTACTGGACAATCAGCTACTGTTATTGTTCCTGTGAGTGGATCAACATTGAATAGTTCAGCACCCGTTCCATTAAGTATACTATATCTTATTCCTTGATCACCAAACACACCCGAATCCATGTCCGATGCCGTAATAATTGTAATTAATTGACCTGCTGGTGCTGTTTCTGATACTGTTGCTGTATATGTATCCTGCTCAAAGTGTGGAAAATTATCATTAACGTCAGTTAGGGAGACAGTCAATGTGGCTGTAGACGATAATTTTGGATTTGTAAGCGTCTCTTCGGCTACAATTAAAACAATGAATTTACGTTGATTCACATTCTCATAGTCAAGTGAGCCATTTGCCACTCGTATGCTGATTTGTGACGTTCCAATGACTTGTTTTGGCTCAATGTCAAAAACTTCAGATACGTCGTCGAGTCGAAGGGAGAATACTGAATTTTGTCCTACATCAGGGTCATTTACAATTATTTCTATTGGCAACGGTGTACCGACTGCTGTGTTTTCAGGTATTGTAACATAATATTCTTTTTGATTGAATGTGGGCGCAACATCGTTGACATCACGTATCGTTATAGATACTTTTGTTGTTGTTGATGCTGTTGGATCATTACTTGGAGCTCCGTCCACAATTTCACGTGCACGAACGACAAGAATTACTATTCCACTAGCATCAGGCAGTTCTTCTTTGTCAAGTGGCTTACCCGTCCTCAACTCACCGGTAATTGAATCAATTAGGAAGTAATCCATTGGATTTGTGATTATGTCATAATAAATTTTTCTCGGTGATCCACGATCTCCATCTTTTGCCTGTATGGTAAGTACGAGTGTTCCAATGGGACTATCCTCATTTATGATTGTCGCTAATGATCCTTGAAAAATTGGTGGACTATTCTGTACATCCTCAACGTGAATAATCATATTACTGCTTGCATTATGATGTCCGTCCGTTGAAAAAAGTGGAATGTTAAAAATTATATTTTCGTTATAATCTAATTTTTGTTTTAAAACTACGGCTGCTCTCATGCGATCTTGATGACTCTCGAGAACATCAATGGAAAAAGTTATGCATGGATTTTGATGATGCTCAAGCTCTTGTTGGTAGTGGCTATCGTCTTTTGTTACATGTACACATATCACATCTAAATTTTCGCCGACAGCATCACGGTCGGTAATTAAAATTTTATCAAATACTGTTGTACCAATAGCTGCATCCTCCAAAACAGTTGTCTCATATGGCACCTGTTCATATAATACATTTAGATCCAATTAAAATTCACATATAAAAAATATTTTTTTTATATTCTATGTCATGTATGAAAAAAGGAAAAAACAAGCGACGAGAGAGACTGGAAGCGAAATTAAATTATTTTATGAGGATTTTTTTTATGTTTTCTGATTTAATATTGTTGATGTTTGCATTTTGGATGGCTGATTGATTGCTTTTTGTCGAGTAATTTTAGAATGTGTTAAGCTTATTTTGTTGCTTGGTGATGAATTAGCTAGAAAAATTCATTTTTGAAGCTAGTTAATGCTGTTTTTGTAGACAATTTTATAAATATGAATTTTTTTTATAATTGAAGCTGATTATTGAGGACAAAAGAATCCTCAAGGATGCTTATTTCTATCATAATTGATGATATTGAGTTTATAAGCATGTCATAGGACTTGTTCGACATGTTACTAGTTCCCCAATCTTAAAAATTATCTATTAGGGTACCTACAACAAAATGATGACCAATAAGCCATCTGTCCAAAATAAAGCAACAAATTCTGAAAAGCTGTATAATGATTAATAATAAAGACTAATCTGCCAATGCATGAGAAAGGCCTCTGTGGATGATTGGTTTGGATAACAGTTCTGATACTTGTACCATTCTTTCCTGTAAGGACGTGGGTTCAATTCCCACCAAAATCCTTTCAATCATTTCATAATGTGTGGTTGATATGACAAGAATTCATATCTCAAGCCCGAAAAAAATGCGTCACATCACTCAAATACTCAACACATCCTTAAACTCTCTCATCCTGTTGTTGACCGTATTATTTTTCATCTCTATATGTCGCGATATTTTTATCGCTTTGTCGCCACACGGTTTTATATTTTTATTTCCGTTCTTTGTTCATACCTTCTGTTGTTCGTACCAATGATACACATGACAAATGCATGTGATATATGCACACATATCTGTAGGATACAAATATGTGAATATGAACAATAACAAACATCCACAACACTCTAATTAATTAAATTTTATTTTTGGCTAAAATTAAAAATTGAAAATTGAACTTTTTTTTTCCTGCCTTTTTTATGCTCAAATTGCGGCTGTGGGGAGATGAGTGACTCATTTATGACGTCAGAAACATTTTTGATGCCATGAATGATAAATAATTGAAAATGATAAAGATAAAAAAGAGCTTTTGAGAGCAAATCTGATTGTAAAAGGCTGTAAATTGATGATTGCTTTATAAAGTTTTATTTTTACGCTATCGACATAAAGAGACTTGATGTTATTTTTAAGTGCTATTAAATTTTTAAAGTGGTGGAATGTTATGGGAATCGATGCTGATTAAAGGGACGTGGAACTAGCAGTTGAGATTGATTTGAGTGATATTTTGACAATGAATTGGACATGATGAATATGAGAAGTTAGAAATCAGTTCATAATTGAGTGTCCCGAGTCAATTGTATTTTCAAAAGTTCCCATGCCTTGATCCCCTCAAAGCTTATTTCCTCATTTTCAAAAATTGTTCATTTAAAATTTAACACTCATTCCCATTTCATATTATTTTATCGCTTATACTAAAATTTGTTCATTTTTCCTGCTTAAAAACGCTTGTTGGCGTCGCTCAACGAGAGCAAAACGTTTTTGCACAAATTGAGCATTAAAATAGACATTAATTCATCCTGTACATTTATTCTCACCCATTCTCCACTTCAACTCGTCTCATTTTGCCTTTAAATTTTTGTCTTTCCTCCACTCTACATCCATATCACTTGCGGTAGGATGTGTGAGTGTGTATTTGTCATTTGAAAATGAAATGGTACCCAAGTTTTTTTTCATTTTTATGTTGGAATTGCTCAACTAAGCAACGAGTGCCTTTTAACTTTATTTAATGAGAGCAATTTGATTAACAAGGAAGAAAATTATGTGTGTGCTTTGGATGTATATGCTGTATAGATGCTTGAGTAATTTTTTTTAATTTAATGAAGTGAACAGCAGGGTAAGCAGGAATGAGAAAGTTTTTATTACACTTTAAAGAGCAATTGTAGTGCTGATGAAGATTTATTGAATTATGGTAAAGTATTTGATGCTTTTTGACTTAATTAAGCATTTTTGAACGTTAACAGGTCAAGCAGGTGATGCTGTTATGATTTATTGGCGATTTAGCTCTACATATCCCCATCAGTGTGCTTTTAAATGCTGTCAACACGTACAACTTTATCCCAATACCTCACTTCCTCTCTCGTCACCCAAAGCAAACAATCTACTTACATTTTGAAATTCTGGCGCATTGTCGTTCTCATCAAGAACGATTACACTGATTGGCACTTGAACGAAATTGTCATTATCCGAATCACCAGATTCATTTACTTTATCCTTAATTGATACGAGAAATGATAAAGTTTCGTGAGTCTGTAAAATAGAAAAAAGAAGAAAATTTAAATTAAATGCGAAATAAAATTTATTGTGAAATTGTAGAGAATGGAAGGAAGGGATGAAACTTTCCAGTAATACACTTACCTCCCTATCTAGTTCTTTAACTAATTTTACATCACCGGTTACGGAGTCGACTTGAAAATTCTCCGAGCCTATGAGACCAAATGTAACGTTACCGCCTTCCGGATCATAACCCTCCAGTCGATAAACTATTGAATCTAATGGTGTCATTTCAGATAATGCTAAGTTATTCATATCCTGTGTGAATATTGGCGGTAAATTAACATTTCCAGATGCTGTGGGGAATAAAGTAGAAAAGAAAAGAAAATAAATGAGTAAAAATGGAAATGAGGAAGACAATTTATTGAATGAAATCACGCAAAAATAGATTTTTTTTCACCAAGGATGGAGGATGGGAAAGGATCTTTGTAATAAAAATAATCGTAATGAATGTTTTAAGTGGTTTGAATTATTTAAGATGGCAATGACTCCTGGTTTTATTGTGTACGGGGGTAATCATTTAGGTAATATTTGCATAAAAAGTTTGAGCTTCGATTAAAAATTAGAGTTTTGATTAGAAAGACCCAAGAAGTACGAGATTAGGGGCCGTTCACTTATGACGTCCGATATTAACGGTCATTTTTCAAAAAAGAACAATGGAATTTCGAAAATTTCTATTGTTCTTTTCTTGATGACCCCCCCCCCCCTCCCCCCTATGGACGTTAGAAGTGAACGGCCCCTTAGACAATTTAGTACTTGATTATTAAGTCATAGAACTAGATTCGACAATTAGATACTAGATGAAACAATTTAACACTAGCTTATATATTGAAGATTACTAAATTAAACATTTGAACTAGATCAAATAGCAAAGTACTATATTAGGGAGTCAAAGAGATTAAACATTTGAAGTACTAGATTAAAAAGCTAAATCCAAGATTAAGGAGTCAAATACGTAAGTAATAGATTAGTCATTGAAGTACTAGACTACATAGTTATTTACTAGTTTAGATAACATTGAAGCTGACTTAATATCGCTATAGTCTGACTTTACCACGAAATTACTCCCAATGCAGCATTTTTCATCTTAAAAACATTAAGTTGTTTCCAAACTGTCAATTTTTGCAACATTCCAATCAAAATTTCAATTAAAATTTCTCATTGGATCACAATTTTCAATGACTAGCACGACAACCTGTCAAAATCCAACCATTCCTTTAAATGTTCTCCAAAATTCCAACAACAATCTTATTAAAAAAAAAAGAAGAGAGAAATATAATGAAAGGTCAGAAAATGTTTTCTTTTCAAACACAGAATTTAATCATCATATCGATATGACCTAAAATTCTCGTATTGACATGCCCAAAACAACCTCTGTCTTGTTCTTGTTTTTCTGTGACCTAAAACATGTTTAAATTCTGGGGTTGTTTGGATGTTTTGTAGCCATAGTAAGATGTGTAACTTTATGTTGGATCTTTTTTCGTTAGATAATTTTATGAACGGATTTTAAGTGAGAAATCATGTGATTTTTAAATTAATTATCTCCTTGTCAACAACATCAATAGAAATTGTTACAGAACATCTAAATAGACTCCTCATATACATAAACCCTTGCATACAAAAAGTCATTGATTACTGTTTTTACTTCAATGAAAAATGTAGCTTTAATATTGTTTATGAAAGCATTAAAGAAGCATTCATTTCCATAGAAATGAAATCCTTTTATACAAATTCTGAGAAACTTTCGTTTGTGATTTTGCTTCCTATATATTCATTAATGCACATGGCAGGTTTCACTAATGATTCATTTGTAAAGTTCATTATATTGTTTCAATTTTTCAATATCAAGAATTTTGCAACATTGTTAATTTTGTACTGTGTTGATTCTTTAATAAAATTTCTGCGTATTTTGAAGATTCAGTAACATTTTATGCTTTAAAATTCATTGAAATTTAATACTTAAATTCTCTTAAATGTATCAGCGTAACATCAAAATAGTCAATCATCAGATACTTCGTTTATTTTGAGTTTGTGATGCAAATTCTTAAAAATTGTTTTAAGGATAATTGAGTTTCTATAAACAAGCTACATAAACATTTCCAAGAATTAGGAAATTAATCATCAGATGAAGATTTGTTGTGATGATTCTGAATTTTAATGAAATTAATAAGGTTTTTAAAGTCATTAATTTGATGTACAGTTGATGTATAGAAATGGTCTGATCATTAAGGGTGTAGCCAAGGATCTTGGCAAGTTTAAGCGTTAGCTTCAATATCAATAAATTTGAAAACTTGACAAATTTGAGCATAAAATTCTTAGATGTAGAGTCGTACGTAGAGGACGGAGGCTTTTTCGGATCCCAAATATAATTTTAAATCTAGCATGCGCCTTGTTGACCAGTCTTGATCTAATCAAAGGTGTGCTACTGATGAAATGATCGGAAATTATCAAAAAATGATCAAAATTATTAAAATTGATCAAATTGTAATTTATCAGAATCATAAATTCCGCACCCTTGAATCTAATTCAATGCCATATTACAAGCTCACAAACATACACGAAAGAACCATTTAATCCGAATGCATCTTTAAATCCTCAAAGCATCTTTTAAAAGCATTAAAAACTCAAAAGAATTCAAAATTTCCACCCCAATAAAAAACAAGCTTTAAAAAGTTCATTCTAAATAAGCAAAGCTAAGCACCTGTCTTTGCACCGCATCTTATGTATGTGACATACAAAAAGAAGAACCAAATTTATTTTTTTTCTCGTTTTCATTATATTCAGCTCAGACATATCGTATGCGACAACAAATGAAATTATTATGATTTTTTTTTACTTCTCCTTATTCAGATCCACAAAAAGGAAAATATTATTTCAACACATCGTAATATACACAAATATTTCAAGACGGCATCGGTGGAGGATGGAATAAAAAGAAGAAACTTGAATCGAGGAAAATTTCACACCCGAGAATGAAAATAACTTTTTTTTGGCATGATACCCAAGCATATTATTCAAATATTTATCGTCTTAAGGGGTTCAAATATTTTGTTTCCTTTTTTTTTGCCGTCTTCATCCTTGTTCTGAACTTTCTGTGCGTTTGTGGATTTTATTTTACATTGGATAAAGTTAACAGAAAATGAAGATAAAGGAGGTGGACTTAAATTCTATTTCTGGTGCTTGAAAATTCAGCACATGCCAGCAGAGTTGAGAAAAAGGTTGCCTGTCACAGGCACAGGCGAAAGATATGTCACAAATATTGCCTGTTAACAGTGACAGGTGATTGCCTGTCACAGATCGCAACTCTGCTTTGCCTGGGTGAATCTAGAAAATTTTGGGACCATTAAGATGTCCAACACGACTCTAAATGACAGAATATGGAAGATTCAGCTTGCTTTCTCACTTAGTGCCACTCAATCTTACTTACTTACTTCGCTGGTCGTACATATCAATTGTAATCCATGACCTTAGTTGACGCCTATAACTAGTTCTATCGCTGGCTACCGTCTGCAAATTTCAAATACCAAGCGCTATACTGTCTCTATCAGGGGCGTAGCCAGAAAATTTTAAAGGGGGGGGCCCATTTCCGAAAATTAAAAAACCGTTATTTTGTATCCTTAAATCTACATTCATTCTTCATAAGTTTAAATATTTAATTCATTATTCATAGATTAAATTTAATTTTTCGTGCTGATTTTGACATTTCTTTCATCACTTCCTCTACATTAACTGGTTCTTCTCTATAAATACTTAATAAAACAATCATCAGATTTTCGTAGGGGGGGGGGCCCGGGCCCCCTATGGCCCCCCCCTGGCTACGCCCCTGGTCTCTATCAACAACTTCCTTCCCTACACTTCCCTACACTCAAGCATTAACTTCAAATCTCTCAGTTTATGAATCCTTCATGACTTGCTAATTAAAAATGCATAAAATTGAAATTTTATGCTACAAAAAATACATCAGAAGCTGAATAATAATCAAGTAAATGCTTGATTCTCAATTCATTAAGTCAAGCATCTGTGAATATTCAGAATGACTTTTAAAATGCGAAAATGAAGAAAGTATGAATTGAAAATTATGGTTGGTTTAGTTTGGTTTATTACACGCTTTTTTTTACACGCTTTTTATTGAGTTGCTCTGTTGGTTTCTTTGTATGTCACGTTCAAATCTTGCAATCGATTTTTCGACCACTTCTATTGCTCCAATCGAGCTCAAATTTTGTATACACACGTATTCCCGGTGACAATACAATATTTTAACACTTTAGAACCACACAAATACTTAATTATAGTACAATTTTAATAAAACTTTTTTATATGGGAAAAAAATCCAATGTCAATGATATAAAATTTTGATTTGTTTAAAATATTATACTTGAAATGCTCAAAAGTCATTTATATGATTCACTATAGTTTAATTAATATTACTAATTATTAATAATACTAATAATTGGAGAAGCTGAAGATTTTCTGGGAGGATGAAAAAATTGACAAGTAATTTTTTCATGAATATCCGTAAGTGAAAATTTGAATTTTCAAAAAAAACCGTTAATCACAAGTCCGTTACGAATTAATGCAAAATAACTTTCAATATGTGATGTGCATTTAGCACACATAATTTGAGCATAAACGTATGCTGTTTTAAATGTATTACAATATTTATAGCACTTCACCAATTTAATTAAATTGACTTCTATTTATTATCAGCTTAACGTAATTTTGCATAACATATGAATGACATTCATTGAATTTAAATTTGAAAAATCCGTTATAAATACGTTACATATAGATGTGATTTGCATCTTTATGTTAAGAATCCACACGTTATGTAATAGGAATGGTACGGATAAACACAAAATCTTTACGATTGATTTTTAATGTTTTTTACTCATGAATGTTTTAAAAAACACAGAAAACGCACATAATTGAAGTTCAGGACATTTTTTGGAAGAGTTTTATGTGTTTCCAGGTATGACTTAAATTATAAAAACGAATGAAAAATCCTGACAGTCGTTACTAATTACCCATTAAAAAATGGGAATATATTAAAAGTTGAACGAAACGAAGTGGAGTTGAATTTGAATTGTTGTGGTCGAAATTCGATTAAAAGATTGAGACTAAAAAGTAGCAAATAAAAAAACGTTAAAAAAACTTTTTAAAAAACACGCTTTTTTCCCGAAGACTAAAAAACAAATAACATTTTTTTCTTGAAGTTAAGTCTGTTGTTGAGAATAAAAACGAAGCGACCAAAAAAGGAGCAAATAAAAAAATGTTAAAAAAAACTTTTTAAAAAACACGCTTTTATCAAAAAGACTAAAAATCAAAAAGTTCAAAATAAAATAAGGTCACACTTTTAGCGAATCAGGATTTTAAAAATTTTCTTGTGACAACTAGAAATGTAACATAAATTTTTTTCAAAATATTGTGATTAAGTCCAAGAACACAATGACTCAAAAAGCGTGGGGCTTTGAGATTTGACGCTTCTCTTACTTAAGAACTTAGTTGAACTAAGAAATGCATCCTTAAATTACGCCCCACGCTTATAGAGTCATTGTGTTCTTGGACTTAATCACAATATTTTGAAAAAAATTTATGTTACATTTCTAGTTGTCACAAGAAAATTTTTAAAATCCTGATTCGCTAAAAGTGTGACCTTATTTTATTTTGAACTTTTTGATTTTTAGTCTTTTTGATAAAAGCGTGTTTTTTAAAAAGTTTTTTTTAACATTTTTTAAGGATATAATTGTAAGTGCTGATATGAAATATTGCGAGTTGAGTTTTCATAATTGTGCAGGATCAGCACCCACCCAAGAAAAACTCAACAAATTTAAATTCCTTAAACTTTAAGTTTCCACAATCACCATAAACTCAATTTCACCTTTCGCAAAGCATAAACAAATCTTCGCATAAATATAACTACCAACAAAAAAATATGCTAATGCAATATAATTTTTTCCATAAATCCTACAATTTCTCTCATGAGAGATTTTCATCTGAACTTTTCACGCATTGATTTCACATAAAAAAGCTTTCCTCTTTTACAAAAAAAAAAGTCTTGTTGAACAGCGAAATAAGTGCTTTTTAAAAATCACAAGCAGAATTAATTTTAATTTTCCTGTTCCTTCAATGTGTCGACAGACTTTTTTTTCCACAACCAACGAAAGAAAAGTGTAGTTCGGATGGCAACAGCAGCAGTTTTAAAATGTATTTATATTATTAAATTCAAACACACAAATAAATCCGGAAATTTATTTTCAACATATGCGCTTATTCTCCGCGATATACGAGCGAGGAAATAGGAGCGGAGCAGTGGTAAAATAAGAGATTTTATCAGCTCGTAAGCTTCAGCTACATTATTGGTGAGAAAAAGCTTATTTTTTGCATATTTTTCACAGTCTATTCTCGAAAGATTTGCGAAGCAATTTTGTTTGTCACTTTGTTTGTCCATCATGTCAGGTTTAATGGATCTTACTTAGGGATTGTGTCATGTAGAACTTGATTTGATACTTAAAAGAACTCTAATGTTTAAATATAAATCAGAAAATCTTAAACTTCTTAACAAATTGTCTCGAGTGGGAATTGAACCTGCGTTCTTACGCTTTCTAGTTGCATAGTCTAACCATTGAGCTATCTGAGGTTGCTTGCAAGTTTAACGGAATGACAATTTAAAAACAGAGTTGCGATCTGTCATAGGTAATTATCTGTAACTTACTTATTAACAGTCAGTGCTTGTGACAGGCAATATTTCAGGCTCAGATCTGTCAAAGCTGCCCACAAATATAACAGATCTGTGATAGATCTGTGGGCAGCTTTATCCAAAGAGTTTGTCAAGATCAGACTAAGTTATTATCGTCTGTGACAGGCACAGGTGACAGATTTGTTACAGATATTGTTTGTTAACAGATCTGTGCCTGTGACAGGCAAGAAAAATATTCCCCGTCACAGGCACTGCCTGTTAACAGACAATATCTGTGACAAATATGTCTCCCGTGCCTGTGACAGACTATAATAACTTAATCGGATCTTGCTAAAATCTTTGGTTTCATCGTTGATTCAGTTATAAACATCAGCAGTTATCAACCTATTTACAACTCATTTCAATCTAGCAATGCGCCTCTAACCCGGCAATTCAAAGCATCTTTTAATGTCCCACATCAAGCATCAGTTTTGTGAAATCACAAAAAAAAAGGATGCACGAGGAAGAAAAATTTAAATTTCAAATTTTATAATATGAGGAAAAAAAGAATCAGATTGAGAATGATGGAGATAGTGATCCTCTTAAAAGGTAGAAATGGAAATGAAAAAATTTTCATATTTGTTTCTTTCTTTTTTCTTCAAAAATGAGGATGAAAAATCCTCGAATGGTGATTGATTATATGCTTGTAAAATATGCAGATCTGTATCCATAAGGTATGCATGTTTGGGATTGGGGGTTGTTTATTAGTGATGTCCATCAGAATTAGAGTTTTTTTGGTCCACTCCACAGCTTGTTCATCTTCTTTCAAAGGGAGGAAGAAGACCTCGACTCCTAATTTAGACATCACTTATGAACGACCCCCAAAAGAATGTTGGTAGTTTTTGGATACCTGAGGATGAATAAAATGTAAAATTTAGTTCCGAAATAGACAGCTTAAAACTTTTCTTCTCTCAATCCTCTGATAAAGTCCTTTTTACGCATGAAAAGCTTTTTTTTCACAAGTTTTGGAAATGAAATATTTTATTTATCATGTTTGATGTCGTCGTCATTGGCTACCATAACTGTTGAATTGCATTTTTTTTTTTGTAAATCTCATATAAACATTTTTTGATGTTAAAAGGATTGTCAAATATTTGGATACTTTTGAGGCGCAATTGTTGGGATATTCTGGAAGCTGTCAAACTTTTTCTAGTATTTTTGAGCTTAGAATTGGATTGAAAAGCAAGGCAGAAAGCTTTCTAGTCTCTTGTATTTAGATTGTCTTGTTTCAACAACAGGACCCAAGTAGCACAAGTCTTTTAATCGAATAGAAATCTGGCAACAAGCTGGAGTTACGCTGGCATGATGATGCCAGGTCCAGCAGTTATTCCAATTTAGGAACTGGGCAATCAGATCAAATGTTTCGGTATTATTGGACAGAAGTTTGAATGTTGTGTGGTTAGCAACTGCGCAGTACAACTTAAACTCGCTTAAAATTGCCCAAAGAAAGTCATTAAGAATTCTTTTAAACAAAATCTGGTTCTGCAGCAGATCAGAATTGTGTAGTATAAAAATTCTTCCAGTCACTACGCTATATCATGTCTTTAAAATTACGTCGAACATGCTTAAAAATAGTGTCAATATTCAAACTGCTAATGAAAGACACAACTATCGAACAAGACAGAGAGAAAATTATGTCATTTCAGTTCCTCGTACCCAGTTAGGTAGTCAAACGTTCTTCATTAGAGGGCTAGTATTGTACAATTCTCTCGAGCAGACAATTAAGAACAAATTTTCAATAAGTTTATCAAAATCTAGGGTTAAAGAATGTTTCTATAAGATGTATTGTGATGCTAATAATAATAATAATCATTTTTAAGAACAAAATGCACTATGTAGCTAAATATGATTTAATTTTGTAACACAGCCATTTGGCTACTTACAAATAAAATGAAATACAAACCAAAAAAAAAAATAAAAGTTGTTCAAAGGAGTAGCGTCCATAAACCTTGAACTCAAAGTACACAATACTCAATCGAAAGCTTCAATTGTCATGATATCCTGCATCATATTCAATCATTGCATCTAATTAAAACTTATTCTATTCGAGGAAATCTTAAAGCTAGATTGTCTTCAAACATATACAATAGAAAGCATGTATCCACAACCTATCTATTTTCTATTGCTTCTATATCTTCAATTATATACACAAAAGCACTTTCTTCCCCTTAGTTCTGTTTATCTTGCATACATAAAAATAATTCAACATTGCATTACGATACAATAATAAGAACTCAGCAATAAGCTAAGATGTGAAGTGTGTTTATCCATGAATTTAAAAAGCAAATATTTTACTTACAATTTCTGATGGCAAATAAAGCAGCAGTCAGCAATAAAAGCAAATTTCTCGTATGTTGACTCATTTTCTATAAAGTTTAACAGTCTCTATTTTTACGTGAGTATGTATGTGTTCAACAGGAAGTTGAGGATAATTTTTCTTTAAATTATTTTTGAGTTCATCTAGTTGTGAGCACCAAAAGCTTCTTCATTCCTCCCTTTAGCTGTGTTCATGGAAGTTTTTCGTCTGCAATTTTAAAATAAATTTAATTAATTAATAGTGTATTTAGCAATTAATTCTCTATTTTATCTACATAAATTTATTACAGCATCCTTACTCACTCACACACACACATAATCTCACAAATACACACAAAAACATTTCAGTTCTGACTCAGTGAGCGTAACAAATATGGAAAGGAGCTACTTTGAATTTATATGTGGTAAATGGTAATATTTCTTTTAAATATATAGATGTGGGTAGACAGGTGGACATGAATATTTGAAAATTTTTGTTTTGGAAGTTTTCGAACTTTTGTTTTTGAAAGTAAAATGTTCATATTAAAATTCGTAGAAAATGTTTGTGATTTTAGGGCGAAGGTTGCTTTGATGAATATTAAATTTTTGACTTTATAAACATTTCTCATGAAATTTTAACAGAAATAAACTTTAATTCTGGAGTTTTTGGTATTTTTGATGTTCAATAGTCAATGATTTACACATTGAATTCCTTTTTGGTCCATAAAATACAGTATATTTAATTACAAACATTCTTTGAATGAGTATTTCAATAAATTGTGAACAAGAGGGGTGTGCAACTATGTTGACAAATCTTAACGAATGAAATTTAAATGTAAAAAGTTCGTTTTTTCAAAAATTGATGAAATTTCAGCAGAAAATCATTAATTCAATAATCAATTTTCCAAAAATATTCTTCATTTTTCATGTCAATAAAATTCTCTCTAGTCAATTTTTAAGCAAATATTTAATCCAAAACGCAAATTTAAACATTAATGAAATGAAGCAGATCTAATGTTCTCATGCCTCGTGCCTTATAAAATTTCATTTCTAAACAAATCATTAATTAATCATCAAATAATTAAGGTCTTCTTGGAAAGTTTTATTTTCGGTTCCGATAGACTTGTGGTTGGAAGTACATGTGTCGTAAGCGTGTGACGAGTTTACCGCAAAAGTTGTAGTTTGAAAATATAAAAAAAAATCTAGGAACATGAAAAGTTTAATAGCAGGGATGGTGTTAAAAAAGCTACACTTTATAGCTTAAAGGTAGTTCTCACATTTCCATGAAAATTTCTTCACGAGCCTTTAATTTCATTGATTATTCATCCAAAATCACAAAACCCACTCGTATATAAATTCAACATTAATCTCGGAAATGGATGTAGGTCATTAGGAATCTGTGATTTTCTGCTTTAATAAAGTCAGTCCATTAAGCTCATATGTCATTTTTATGATCACATCCTTGAAGTTATTTTGGGGGCAATTCCGGTTGGTTGATTTAAGGAGTTGTTCATAAATGATGTCTCCTGAATAGAAGGATGCTACTACGTTATTTATTGAACGTTGAACAATGGAATATAGTCAACCTTAAGTGGTCTAATGGTTCATTAAACTAAGAAACCTAATGTCAATTTAATGAAGCTCAAACAGTAACTCAAAGTGGATCCAAAAGGTGAAATCTTGGAGAATTTAACTCATATTATGTTGCATGAAGTCACTACAGAAGCTACATCATTTACAAACAGTCCCCAAAACCCTAACCTGTGCAAATTTCCTCCACTTTCTTTATATCCCATTTCAATCCTATTTGTTATAAAAATGTCATTAGCTAATGACATAAAATAATCCCCCTCTTTTTATATAAAATTCTTTAATTCTTTCCTAAATTTCCTGCATGCTTCAAAAATTCTTTTTAATAAAAGAAATATTTTTCATTAAAATTTTTCTTTTAAAACATTTCGCACACATTTTGCAAAAACCGCACGTGTTTTAATCTGATTTCATTTCCTCACTCTTCCCGTTTTATTGAGATTGAATTTTCAAATCCACAACAATTCGACTGTAACTGACATAAACATTTCAAAAAAAAAGAATTGAGAGTGAACTCGTAAATTGAATTGATTTTTGGTTGAATTTATTTGCAATCGGTGTAAATGGATTTTGTTCTTTTTTGTGTATTCAGTTTATTTAATTTTGAGTATTTGGAAGGAGTGGGAACGGTATGTTTTAGGATGGAGTTGTTATTTGATAGTTTTGATGTTTTGAATTTTGTGAATAAATATGTAGAGTTTGTGGATAAGATTTTTGTGATTTATAACGATTCTATAATCATCAGAACATGATGATACATACTGTGAAGGGATGTGTGCACTAGAAATAGAGTGGAGACTAGGGTTCTAAGCCATATGTAGGCGAATCTGCCAGTTTGAGAATAATACCTCAATGAATCTGTGGCTCTGTGGATAGACGATGTATGTCACGCTCTGTTTTTATGAGGGCGTGGGTTCGGTTCTCAACAGAGGCTAATCGTTCAGTTATTGACGACATTTCATTATTTTCAAAGCTAGGGAATGTTGTCATAAGGATTATATGACAAGCTATTGAACCTTGTTCTCACTAAAGCTATTGTTTCTCACTCAATCGAAATTAAATCAATTAAGACCACTTCATACTTCGATTCCGTCCCATTCTTTAAAAATTCTCTAAAATTGGTCCAAAGAATGCCCAATAATCACACAAAAGTGCTCCATATCAAACATCACATCGAAAAAATGTCCAAATCACATCAAATGCTCAAAAAATATTTTCCACATCACAACAAACCCCATATCATTCAAGCCACAACATCAGCATGACTTTTAACAAAACACTTTTTGTATTGTTTTGCGTAAATTTCCGTAAAAAAATATTTTTCATCCATTTTTTGCGAGTGAATAATAAATGAAATAGAGTGAGATTTAAAATAACAGCCAAGAATGAAAATCATTTCAATCAAATTTTCACTCTCGTTTATTGGAATTTATGGGATACAAAAGAGAGGCATGCAGCAACAAAATGTTTTCATTTATTAGCAGAAACAAAAATTTTATTTTGAGGTGGGTGGGCATAAAAATGGACGGAAGTAATGAGATTGAGTAGGAGTTTGAGCGCATATTTTGATGATGTTTGTTGCTAGCTCCAAGTTCAAAGCTCTTTATTTTAATGCCAAGGACAATCCGCATCTAAAATGCTTCCTCAACTTTTAAATACCTTTGCAAGCACACGAATAATTCTCACCATAAATACAAAGCAGGATATAAGCGCGAAGTGTGAGAAAAATATAATTTTTATTGTGACGTTAATGGGGAAAAATGAATTAATTTTCATACGTTACGTACACTTTTGTGTCTGTATGTGCTGATGTCGGTACATCGAGGGTGCAAAATTAAATTACATCGAGTCGCAATCTACGGCAATAATGTCATGAGGTGAATTGTGTGAGGATTTTGAGGGATATGGAGATGAGATAAGCTTTATTTTGATTAATTTTTTTACAAATTGGAGTCGTGAGTTAGAAGGTAGATGAAGGGAAGTGCCAGAGTAGATAGAGGAGTATCATAAATAGTAGAAGCTATAATAAATACTAGAAATCTAGCTTTGTCTGTTCCAAAAACTAGAATAACCTCAAAATGCATAAAATCTACGTAACCAACTCGATGTCTACTCTAAAAAGCTCAAGGAAACCCCGAGGGCAGTTCTACAACTTCAATATGCTCAAAAATGATCAAAAGTCAATTGATAATTCAGCATTCCTTAAAAAAATCCAATCATCCACAAATCCAACCCAAAATCTACTCAAGGACTTAAATTACAGCAATAAAATCTCATTAAAGCAGCTTTAAAGCACACGAGTCTACCTCAAAACCAAAAAAAGCAATAAAAAGCTGCTTTACGGGGCAACAATTTTATTAAATTTTTTAATCCGCTTTCAAATATGCACTTATATGTGAGAGATTTGCTTTCACATCACCGCCGTGGGCGAATAAAATTCAGAGCTTTTTTTTCAACATCTGCTATCTTTAATGCTCTGCTATCGCTGTGGAATATACTCTTTATTCTTCACTCATGCATAAACTGATCCACACACATGTACAAGTCACAAATCACACAAAATGTACCTAAATTAGCTTTTTTTTTCGTTCTGCTTATTTTTTTTTACTCAAGCTTGCCCACAAAAGATGAGAAGTTTTTTTCGACTTCCTATTCTTTCTATCCATTAAAACATTTATAGAGATAGAGGAACATAAAATGAGGATATGTTATGGAGAATCGAGGCATCCTAATGTTTTCCATTCGAATGCACAAACGGACTTGCCTGTCTGAGCACAATACATGGGCAATAAAAGGATGGAAGGCACAGGGGATGTTCACTTTGTTGGTAAGGTCCGAAATTTTTGAAACTTGGAATTGAAATTGGTAACATCTTCTTGTGTTCGTGCTTTGCGACAGTTGCATGACTTAGTGAGCATCAATATCATGTCCTTAGCTATAATTTGTAAGTAGCAAGTAGACACGAACTGAACTTAAAGCTAGAATGATGTAAAAGCTCCCAAATCAAGCTAGATATAATTAATCATTGTTTTTTGGGGACGCCCTAGTGTAAAGCCAGAGCTGTAGCTAGAGTATATACCAAAAGACATCTAAGTCTAGCCATAGCAATCGCATAGCATGATCATTGATTCAGGATACCTTCAATGAAGGTCTTTTACATAGGATTTGAACCAATAGTGTTACTATCAAGACAAGGGATCTTATTGAATAACCATTCAGCCATAACGATCGTTTCCTCAAACTTTTAATATCGCTTATTTTATGACCTAATATTTCAATTCAAAACCATCCCTTGACCAACAAAAAAACTGAAACGAACTTATGATTTTCTCTCAGTGATTAACGAAGCGAAATGATAAACAAAAGGGAAAGAATCAGAATCCTTCTTATTCTTTTCACTCTGCTCTGGCTGAAAATGTTTATTGAATTTTTTTTCCATCTTTTTTTTACTTCTTCTTTATCTTCATGCTTGATTCAG